TTTCTGTATTTACTTGATCGAAACTTTCGTTGACTTTTACTAATAACTAATGAAAAAAAAAAAAAAAAAAAAAACTACTAATACTTGATCTCTTTTGTAAATAAAAAATTGCTTCTCAGTATATAACTCTTATCAATTACCTTAATCATTAATAAAACCATCTCAATAAAATAAAAATATAATCAAGAAATTTTATATTGGACTTATCTAAAACTCAGCTTTATTTTATATTTAACTCAATTACGTGATGCGATAATCAGATAATAAAAATAGAAATCTATAATAGAATAAAGGAAAGTACAATAAGATTATTATAACATTGAGGTGAACCTCTGAATTAATGAATAAAAAGTATTAACATAATTAAAGTAATCTTATAAATTGCAAAAAGTTCTTCTTGAGATGAATTATTGTATTAAAAACAATTTTCAAAAAAAAAACGCTAACGATAATCGAATATTCTACAATAAACTAGAAAGCTGAACGGGTAAAATTTAACTGTTTCAAATGATTAAGCGCTGTATATATATATATATATATATAGCTGTTACGTTTGATAACACAACTATGTATTATATATAACAATTCACGGTCTCTCTTTTCATTTATGATCATCTTATAATACTTGCCGTTTTAATCAATTGATTATAGACGTGCATAAAAATTAACTCCGGATTATTAAAAGTTATAAACATTCAAACCAGAATCATTAAGTTTTTATTGAAACCAATGAACCGATTAATAACTACAATAAATTTTAAAAATCTTGCACGTGTCATTTGTCGATCCTACAAAGTTATTATTATCACATTTAATTGAAAAAGTACAATATTTTTTAATTATCGCAACTACGCAATAAAACAATGACACAATATTGATATCTAATATGTATTGCGTCGTTTGATGATTGTTGATGGATTGCGTGAAATCGTATTTATTTACAATGATTAAAATAAATTAATTAGATTATTCAATGTTAGGATTAATTGAATATTAGATTAAATAAAAAATTTTAAAATTAATACTATAACAATGAAATCTACTGAAAAACTTTAATAAATTGAATCGTAGTTTTAAAAATTATTAATAGCCTTCGATATGATATCAAGTAATAACATAATGTTCAGTTCATATTTGTAATAGTTATTTACAATACCGCATTACGCCGATAGCTATCTAGATGGTTATGACAGGAAAAATTTCTATACAAGACTAAGATAGCTAATTTAATAATTCACCTACACTGTTAATGATAGGTGTTGTTATTACAATAGCAATCTAGCAGTTTTCACTTATTTTGATAGTTTAGATTGTTTTGAAATATAATATTTTTAGTGAAAATTAAGAGCAAAAAAATTTTAATTGAATATTAACAATGTAGACGCAAAATACTTTCAGTTTTTTTATTTTGGAATTCGAATTTTCTCTTTAAAAAAAAAAACTTATAATTAAAATGAATTCTAATGTAGTTATAACTCAGTGCAATATTTTTTGCAATAAATAATTAATTATTTAAATACTTTCTACAATTTTTCCCTTCTACGGAGTAGTAGAAAATATAAATTTTAATATCAAGTATTTGTAGCAATAAAGTCGTTAATCGTAAGTATAATTGTAATTCTACATATAATGAGCGTCAATTTATGGTCAACACTCACAAGACTAAGAAACAAAATTACATCAAAATTACAATCTTCATGCGAGTGAATCAAATTTAATTTATTTAGAGATCACACAGACGTTAATTAACTCAAATTTGATTAATAAAGTTTGAAGAGCATTTTACCATTTAGACTTATCACTCAAATAAACTTTTTCTTTATCAAACACCTATACGACTATAAACTTTTCCTTTTACCTTAATTATGGGTACCAATAATAAAATAACGACGACATTGATGTTTAAATTGTAATGACAGAAAGTATCAAATTATGGGAAAATTTAGGGAAAAGCACTAAATTAATTGAGCATAATCATTCGTATAGTCGAATTATCACTAACGGTTGTAAAAAAAAATAGAAAGCTGAACTAATAAAATTTAAATGATTCAAATGAATAGATTATAACCACATACACATTTAAATACAACTTATCTGTAATCGCCTTTAATGACCATACTCAACAAAACCGTTAGTCAATTGATAAAGTGTAAAATACAAAATATATAATGACTGGAAAATATGGGCAACAGTGACTAATATAATTAAAATTTAGAAGACAAATAGAAGAAATAAGATTTTTTTATATTTAATTATAGTTGTATGAAAAAAAAAAAAAAAAATATATATATATATATATTAACAGGTACTTACAAATACATAAACATACATTGCGTACAACTAAGAACGCAATCATTTCCGCAAATCGTTAAATTCGATCTTTTATTATTCATTTATTATCTACTTAATAGCAATTCATAATCATGGTATAAAAATAATACTGTATTGTTTATTTCTTTTTCAGAGAATAAGAGAAAGGAATGATAACGACAAACTCCGTTATTAAAGTTTAATAAAATGTTATTACGGCGGACGAAATGGCAAGGGATCATTTAGGGTCGGATTATTCAGAGAACATGAGCGACACAACAACTTACAGTTGTAAGACAATTTCTGTCGAGAAGGTAATTAATTAGGGGAGCTTGGGGTCGCCCCGGTCACCAACATTTAAAAAAATCTACTATACCTTAAATTTTGAATTTTGTTTTATTTTGTACGCTTATTCAGCTGAGAGTAAAAAAATAGATTCAAAACTTAGAAATATAGTATTTATTAGTAATAATTAAAAATTAAAAAATTGATTCCCATTTGATCTAAGAATCGGAATTATTTCCGTAAGGCTTTTAATATAGTTTACAGCCAGATAAAAATTTATAATTTTTATGTATATAATCTATAAATCTTCCTTTATAAGTGGGAATTTTTATTATACTGTAATTATTAATCGTTTTCTTTTGAATAAAGTTTATTTTCTCAACTATATCGGTTGGGGTCATACCGGTCAAAGCTGTGGGGTAACACCGGTCAGTTTATTCAATTATTTATTGTTTGACAGCTCGTGTGTTTATTTAAAACTAACCACTATTTTGTAATTAATTAAAAAAAAAAAATCACAAAAGAAGCCAGTTAAATTGTCCGATAATGTTAATGAAGAACTCCAAACAAATAAATCAGCAGAAGAACCTAGAAAGAATTCAAGGAAACGAATAACTTCCACTCGTGCGACAGATAAATATCATAAATATCAAGTATGGCCTAAAAAACGCAAATTAGTTAAAAAAACAGAAAGTTTAAATGTTCAAAATTACCAATATTTAATGTTATTTGCTGCTAAAGTTTCAATAAAAAAATTAATTTTAAATTTTTATTAAATTTTAACAATATAATTCGGAATTTCTAATTTTTAAAATAAAATTAATACTGACCGGAGCGACCTGCCTAATGACCGAGGTGACCCGAGGAACACGTTGGGTCGCCCCGGTCAAACTCATTATTTCTATAATTCCTTAAATATTTTTATTTATCTTCATACTTATATTTTTTAGTAATTGCATTTAGTTCTTCAGATGTGAAAGAATTGAATAAAGTCTTTTTTATTATTCCAAAATGATAATTTTAATATTTTTTTAAATTCACTTCTTAGGTGACCGGGGGGACCCCACACTCCCCTATACCTGTATACCTGTATAACTTTTTTTAAGCTATTTTCTGAGCAGAGCTTGAAATTTTATTGAAAATATGATATAAAACTTTAAAAATTGAATTAGAAATAATGAAATAGACTTATGTTTAAAAAATTGAGATATATTGACCTAAAAAATTCGATTTGATGACTAATCTATAACTAACAAATGTGTCAAGTACTTGACATCTAAATTATAAATAATATCCGAACTTGAAACAATTAATCAATGAAATAATTGCAAAAAGAAGTTTTCCCAATTTCGGAATATGATTCACATGTTTTATATTTTCAAATCGCTTAAAATATCAACTAGTAAGTTAATTAGAATCTTTAGATGTCCTATAACTATAACTTATAAGATCGAAATATTGGTTTCATTGGCTTGAACCAAAGTGCGTGATTTCAATTTGCAGTACGTTTTATTATGTGAATTGATTAATGAATAAAAATTCAATATGAACAGTGACAACAAAATAAAAAATGAGCAACCTTTTCTCTAATTTTGTAATAAAAAGTGTCTTCTGCAAAGAAGAAAAAAAAAAAAAAAAAAAAAAAAAAAAAAAGTTTTGTTTGTGAAAATGTAATTATAAGAGCTTAATATAGTGGTAAGTAATAAAAAATATATCAAGTTAAATATAGTTGAGGTATGCTATGCTACAACATCTTTTAAATGCGTCGTTTAATTTTGACTTGACGTCATTTGATGTAATTATATTTTTTAAACGAAAAAATTTTTTATTGTCTAAAGTCGATTCAGTGATAAATTCCAACGTTATTTCAAAATAATCGCCTAGAAAAAATTTTTTTAATAGATTTCTATAGTCGAATATCTTCAAAATGCCCCGAAGAATTTTTTAATAACCTTTGAAATTTTTAAAACAGGAAGTTACAAGTTTTTTATCTTGATACAGTAATCCAATAACAAATATTTAATGAACTATTTAGTAAAGGTTGTTTGTTGCTTGAGGCAATTTTTTATCAACTTATATTTTTTATACACCGAATTGTCAGCAGTATAAAAAAAAGTATTACTTAATTGGTCATGACTTTGATTTTTCCCATCTTCGATTACTGTTGTGCTGCTTACACGAATATATCAAGCAAATTACAGAATAGATTGCAGCGTAAAATAAATTCTTGCATTAGGTATATTTTCAAAATTTCGAGATTCGAGCATAAGAATTTGGAATTCATTACCGGGAGATATTACAGAAATTGACACCTTTGAAAATTTTAAGCAAGCTTGTTTTAATTTCTTCTTGCAATTAATATGATTACCATTGATCTTATAAGTTAAGATGATAGTTATTAATTAATGTTGATTTTCAAATTGTATTGCAAATGCTGTATCAAATGTATACTTGTAAATAATTAACTTTATGTATTGTTGATGGTCCTGAAGGAGCTTAGAACTCCAGGATCAAATAAAATTTATTATCTATCTATCTATCTATCTATCTATATACTGATAACAAAAAGTTTCAGGAATGGCCCACCGGTCAACTGCTCTTTACATTTTTTTTTTTTTAAATTCAAAAAATTAATTTTTGGATTGTATTATGTTAAGGTTATGATGTATCATATGCGCAAATCATTATAATAAAATATAATATAATAATATTTTTTCATCTTAACTAATTCAATATAAATTTTACGTACTTCTAATATATTTTGCGTCGTAAAACAAGGAAGCAATTAGTCGATGACTTTAAGTAGACTCAACTTTGTCAAGCTATTTAAACTGTAACCACTGCATTATCGGTATCAAAAAGCTAGTATAGTAGAGAATTGAAATATTCAATATTGCCAAATCATCATCACCAAAACATCCTGTAGTACATCCTTTAACTTCTGTGTTAAAGTTCTAAATTTCTGCCAATAGTTATTGTTATTATTTAACTATAGTTAAACCATACTGGTACTACCCTCATTGATCAAATTGTCTTTTTCTTTTGAAAATCTCCAAGAGTGGTCCACATTATTCTCATACCCCCCACATGTTGTTCATCCGAACATTAACTTAATATATTGAATATCAAGACAAACTTAGTACAGAAATCGATAATTTCGTGATTTTTATCAATTCGAATTTTAAAACTTGAATTCAAAATAATCATGTAAGTATTTAAAGAATCAGATTATTTTTTTTACTACAAAGAATAAAACTATCTACCTGTTTGAGAAATAAACTTTTTGCCAAAATAGACTTCTAGAACTTCTGTGTTGAATATTTCAAAAATTTTGTCTTCGGCAATTAAATACGTCTATTTTTAATAATTTTTAATTAAAAAACTCTAAAATAATTTCTATTTTTTTTTAGAAGATAATCGAGTTTTTTGACATTAAATTGGTTTAAATTTTTTTTTTTTTCGATAACTATGCGGAAATAAGACGAGAGAGTACGGTATTATTATTCATGCGTTAATAAAAGATAGTATAAACAAGTGAATTTGTACGTGTACACGTAGGACGCTGCATAAAAGCACACCGTATACTTTAGTTTCACGTGTATTTAACTTTTTTATAAAATCATTTGAAATATCTCCTTAAATATTAATCGTTTGAAAAATAATAATTTTGATAAAATATTTTATGAAAAATTTGATGATATAAAAAAAAATCGTACTTTTAAATAGTTAATTTTCGGTAATTTGACTTGAAATAATAGATTTTTTTCTCTAATAATATCAATTTTCAATTATAGATATTCTGTTTCCACGTAGTAAAAATTACACATAACTTATTAGCAGATCAATCGAAAATGGAACAAAGATTTGGAGCTTTATTATTAATAATAATAATTTTAAAAGCATTATGCCCTCTGATCATGGGATGTCCTCTTTCTCGTACTCTTACACGTCGTTATTATTATTATTTAACAAATTTACCAGATTCAAGGAAATTAAATACACTGGCTTTTATTGGTAATCACGATTCAGCGACATCGTCAGTGAGTTTCAAACACGCTTGAACACAATGGATGACAGTTGCTGAACAATTAGACGCTGGCGTACGCGTATTGGATATGCGAGTACGTCTGTATGACAATGAATTATTGATGTATCATGGTATTATGTATTTGGGCATGTCTTTTGGTAATCTATTGGAGGACGTGAAGAATTTTTTGAAAGATCATCCAAAAGAACTTGTAATAATGTTCATACAAAGGGAACACACACCTTATAACACGAACATGACAGTGTGCGAGATCTTAAGAGATAAATACATAAAAGAGTATCCTAATTTATTTGTTGAACATTGGTCATACGACCACACTCTCGGACAGTATCGTGGAAAAATTTTATTGTCCTCAGGTGAGCTATGTTTCTATGAATGTACAACATACCGATTTTGTAAAGAACAAAACAACTGGGAAATATCGACTCGAATTATCTCAGAAACAATAAATGGGCTGATATTAAAGCCCTTCAAGATTCGATGTTCGAACCGCACAATGAATATAATTGTTTCATTAATTATTTATCGGGCAATGGTTTCAGGTATCAGACTTAGCTCCAGAAAGCTTAGCTGTATTTTTCAGACCGAACCGTTTCAATTTCACTAATCCTTCTTTAGGTCCAGGAATGAATAACCGAATGTATAATTACTTTCGAAATCCGAAAAATGTGACATATATTGTTATGGCTGATTACCTGTACGAAGATCTTATTGAAAAAATTGTTCTTAGTAACTAAACGTAGATTTTTATTACATTTGTATATGATTCATTCAAATAAATCTGTAAATATTCATGAGAACACAAACGAAACTTTTTAATATTAATCCTTAATGTAAAGATAAACAAAAAAGATGACAATGATCGAGAAATAAATTTTGTGACTTATTTTATATTTATGACTTAAAATTGAGTAGATTGAATGTGAGCAGGAAATTTATATTTGATGCAGATTTCATTTGATGGACATTGTGAATTAAACAATTCACTTTCTTTTATATATATATTACGATAAGAACGATGAACATTTATATAAATAGAAAATAGATAACTGTAAAACGAAATAAAAAATAATTCTGTAAATCTTGATGTTTCTTTAAAAATAACATATAAGAGCGTACCCCCATGAAAAATAATTATAAAGAGTATTCTACTAGAATAAGATTTTAAAACTTATTATGATTATGTACAAGTTATGGTTTGCTAACATGCAAAAGTATAAATTTATATGTTTTTGCAAGTAAGATAAAATAAATTTACTTGAAAAAAAAAAAAAAAAAGAATTATTGTGATAATAAAATAGATTTTTAGAGAAATTACCAACGCACTTTTTCTTTTGCCGCACGGTGCGATTCTCATCACTCATCACATTTATGCTTCTTTCCAACTCAAATAAAATGTAAACAAGATTAATCGCACAATTTATTGAATTATTTATCTCTATAAGCCATCATTTTTAATAATAGTGTACTTATCATGGCTACAACGATAGTCTATATAATCACTCTATGATTTATTTTTCTTTAAAACGGTTTTTTTTTTTTTTTTTTTTTTTTAATTAACAATTTTTGTTATATATGGTAAGTTATGTCTTACACAAGAGATTAAAAAAAAATCGGTCAATCCTTGAAGACAATATTATCAACGTTTTTGAATAAAAATCTTGATTGAGTATTTAAAAATTCTTACAATTTTTTTCAAATAAAAACTTTAAAATTCATATTTCAACACTAATAGCATTGCTATTAGTAAATTGTTGTTACAAATTCCATTTATCATTACAACTTTCAACATTGTTATTCTATGATTCATTAAATTTTTATTTTACTTATAAAAAAAATTGCATAATAATAAAATCTGTGATATAAACAACATCGTTGACATTACTCTCATGTATATTACTTTGTATTTCAATTCATTAATTATACTGAGTGGGAGTCCATGGGAGTCCAAAGGCAATTTGGAATGATTTCAGGCGGCTTGGGCTTCTCAAAACTAGGTCATCTGTAAATCCGTTAAATCTTGATGTTGAAGGACTCAATGATTATTTTTTGTCAATTGGTGGCAGTTGTGTAAATGATGATTTGCTTCTGGCGGCGTGCATGTGTGACGATGGTGATCAGCAGTTTACTTTTGTTGAGATTACTCTTAGTGATGATGAAAAGAACTTGTTAACAAAACGCATTAGCACAGGCGCGGTTGGGCCAGATGGGATTCCAATTGGGTACTATAAGCTATTATTGCGCCATTTTGTTTGTGGTCGATAGTAGACTTGTTCAATGCGTCATTGGTGTGTCCTCAGAGTTTCCGAAGCAGTGGAAAGATACTGCATTTGTTATCCCAATACCAAAGGCGAATTCACCAGAGCATTTCTGTGACTACAGACCAATCTCCATTTTGTGTTCGTTAGGTCGAAGGTGCTTGAGCACTGTGTCTATGAACAATTAGTCTGCTATGTTACGGCTAATAACTTATTAGATCCTTGTCAAACTGGGTTTCGTGAAGGAATGAGTACGCAAACGGCATTACTTCGGCTATGTGATGACATACGTGCTAGAATTGATGCGCTCATTAAGCGGTTGATTACTGTTGCAGTATTTTTTGACTTTACAAAAGCATTTGATAGTGTAGATCATTTGCTGCTACTGATGAAGCTACGAGAACTGAATCTTTCAGAGAGGGCACTAAGGTGGTTTCATTCGTATCTGACGTGCAGGCGTCAGGCGGTAAAAAATGAGGATAACGTCTCGTCATGGAAAAAGATGACTAGTGGAGTGCCTCAGGGGAGTGTACTTGGCCCGCTGCTCTATGCACTGTTTGTTTCGGAGCTTGGTTCTGTGATAAACTCTAAGCATATATTTTATGCTGATGATCTAGTGGTCTATGTTATTTGCAAAATGGAAGGAATTGGGCAGGCAGTGGATGGGCTCAATGCTACGATAGTGCAAATTGAAGATTGGTGCCGTCACTAATTGGCTCAAACTTAATGAGGCTAAAACAAAAGCTGCTATTTTCGGCAGTCGGCAGCATGTTAGCAGTTCAATTTATCAGAATCCACCTAGTGTGCTCGTAATAAATGGAGTGCCTGTTTTCTATGTCACCGCACTGTCAAGTATCTTGGTGTTCTCTTGGACAGTACTTTGTCTTGGCATGACCAAGTGATAACTACTAGCCAACAATGCGGAGTGCTATGGTGCTATGTGCCTCAATGCGGAGAAGGCTAATTGCTGCTCTGATATTGCGCCTATATTTGATTATTGCAGTGCTGTATTTACAAATATTTCTGGGACTTTGCAGCTTAGGCTCCAGCGGAAGTTTAATGCTTGCACCAGGTTTATATTTGGAGCTAGGCGGTTTGAGCACATAACACCTTACAGGAGGAGACTTGGATGGCTGACGCTCCGAAGTAGACGTGAGTTTCTAATTTTGAGTCTGGTGTATAAAATGCTGAATATGCAGCATCACAAGTTGTTGCATTCGAACTTCAAAATATTGTTTGATGTCAGGGGCCGTGCTGAGCGTAGAAATCAAGTTCTGCATCAGCCTGCCTGTAGGACTGTTGCCTATGAAAACTCATTCTTGTTAACTGCAGTGAGGGAATGGAATCATCAGTTACCGAGTGATCATCTTGTGGCCGTGAATTCTTCAGCTGAGTTTCAGACGTTGTGTTACAAATTAATTTTTGATAAAGACATTTGAACTGGAGAGTCAATAATAATAATAATAATAATTGTTTATTTACTTATGTGATTAAAATGTTATTCAAAATTTTGTATTCAAAGTACTTCCTCACTATGTAATACTATTAAATTTCTACGGCCTTTAAGGAACGTCAGTTCTAGGGCCGAATTTCTTCAATAAATAAATAAATACTGACGTAAAATATTACAGTATTAATTTATTTTAAAAAAGTATATTTATATGATAATGGATAATAAAATAACAAAAAGTAATGAATAAATAAAAATAATTATTTTTTTTAGAGTTCTTTACGAAGCTGTTCTGAAATGTTTCACGAGCCATTTTTTCTCCATCCACCTGGTACTCGACCCCGGGATGGAATTTACATAAATCCAATGAGCCCATTTATATCCGAACATCAAAAACCAAAAGACAATGAATCATTCTACCTCCACAGTCCGAACGACCTCGTCTACACAAGAATAACTCGGCTGTTTTGTGATAACGTCGATAAAACTATAAACGACGAGCGAATCGATATCGAGAAGAAGGATGAGACTTTAACTGGTAAGTGTGGCACGTCCTAGATAAATACAACATCATTCTGATCATCCGTTTGGCTTAGTCTCTCTATCTATGTCTTATTTATCTAATGCTAATTTTTCATCTTACTTCTCTGATGACTAAGAAAATTTTCTAGTTGATCACGGCCTCAATTCTATCATTGCTAATCATCCTTGTTTGCTGATCGATCGATTATGCTGCTAAGCTCCCATGCCTATAATTTAATATTAGACGCAGCTCTCTCATTTATAGTCACTTTATCAAATTAGTGAGAGTTTATAATATCAATACGCATATACTTTATTTTATATCAATACTTTTCATTTAAATAGAGTCACTAATGGAGCTATCATATATAAATCGATCAAAAATAACTTACAGTTATCTTTTTATTTGCTTTTTGTTATTTTTTTTTGCAATGTTATTTTGTTATTTTTGCAATGTTGTTATTTTTTATTAATACTTGTACTTTTCTCACCTGGTTGATTATACAACAAAACTTTGTTCGTTAATCTATATAAAAAAAAAAAAAAAAATTGATTAGTTTAAAAATTACCACTAACTTATGACATTTTTAATTAACTTAAAAAAAAAAAAAAAAAGAATTATCAAATAAATTACGAAAAAAACAATTATCAATCAACAAACTAAAATCCACTAAACTGAAAAAAAAAAAATTACTACGTATAACAAAACAACTAGACACACAATAAAGTAATACATAAGCTTTACTTTTATCATGTTTATCTAAAACTCATGGATTTGTAGAATTACACGTTTATCCATGTCTTATATCTAATCAAAAAAGATTGCAAGATTTAGCCCCACCAAAACTCGACCCGGATTAATTCCCTCTAAGTTGCATTGTGTCACTCATTAACTGAATCTTCAAACGTTAGTTATTATAGATTTTTATTTTCTATATATAGAAAAATAATTAAAATAGCCGAAATAATAAAAAGTAATAAAAACAAGATTTATGGATCGACATCTCGGTACGTTTATTGTATACTCTCAGTGCATATCAAACAGATGATAAATAAATAAATAAATAATTCATTTCACGTTAGTTGATTTGTCCAAGGAACTAAATGTATACATACATATTATTATTAAGAATATACCAACGTGGTTAGTTGGTTACACTTGAGCTCGCGGGAATCGGGTTAAAGATTGTTAAGCATTGCAAGATTTTATTCCTCCTCTTGTTCATCTTACTTTTCTCGGTCTTTCTCGTTGCAAACCCGTTACGCCGTTATAAAACGCACACAAGCATAAGAAAAAGAGCATGACTTGATAAATTTTCAACGAATAAATTATTTTAATTTTTTTTTAAATACAAATTACTCGGACCACATGTTAATTTTTTTTTTTTTAAACAAAACAGACCAGTGATTGCAATTTTTTCCACGAATCTTCCCTATTATGACTATTATTAATAATAATTAAAAATTTTAAAAATAATGTAAACGGTTGATTAAATCATGATTTCAGTGAAAGTGGATGTTCACATTAATAACGGAAGTTACAAACCAATAAGCAATGGTAACTCAATTAAATCGGATATTATCAAGGACACGGAGCATGCTTACGAACAGATCTGTATCAGACCGGATGAGACGGAGAGCGTTAAGTCAGTGGGTCACAAAAAATTTAACGATGATGCATCTGAAAGCAGGCAATTATTTTTGTTTTTATATTTTTTTTTTTTTTATATTAATGTCGATATTGATAATTAATAATTAAATTTTCAATCCAGCCGGTCAAAAGTAACTGTGAGAAGATTTAGCAGATCCAGCAGTGCAAGTGAGTCTTCCCACTTAAGCAGTGAAATACCTTGTTACTCATCGACAACATCAACCCCTTCATTATCGCGCAAAAGTAGCAACGAACGCATTGATAAAACTCCTAAGCCTCCGGAACTACCAGGTAATAGAAGAAGAAATAATTTTTTTTATAATATTATTTGTTAAAAAAATCATCGTCTGTTATTAATTTTAGTGTTATAAATTGAAATTTTTTGTTGATTTTAGAAAGGAAAATTGTTAAACCCGTGGAAGTTGAAAGGGACTCAAAACCACAAATCGATAATCTTAATAGGTAACTAGACTTTATCAAACGGAAACTAATTTAGTGCAAAAAATCGGTGAATGAAAGTTAATATTTTTATCTAAAACCTAAATTCATATTTTCCGGCCGATTTCACTGGATAATTTTACACTGATTTGCTCTTATGACAAAACAAAATACGTCGAAAGTAATATTATATATTTATAAATTATATTTTTACAGTATTGTAAAGCCTCCACCACCTCCGCCGCCACCGCCACCACCGGACAACGAAGAAATACCTCCGTGTCTAAAAATTCCTGATCCGGTTGATAAAAATTTCAAGGAAGTCAAAGATGAATGTGATAATTCATCAGGTAAATTAAAAAAAAAAAAAAAAAAAAAAAAAAAAAAATATATTGTCTATTAAATCGTAGACATGTAATGCAAATTTTTTTTAATTATTTAAAAGTTCCTCATAATTATAACAGTAGATATAATTCTATGGCAGCTACAGTTTTTTTTTAAATAAACCTGGGTCATATTATTCAGAAACCAAAAATTTTCATTCCTTTCAAAACTATTAAAGTTTATTTTTTTCTGCAAAAATTATATTCACAGGTGTATTTTGCCTACACTAATAATTAAGCTATATTAACAAACAAAAGAATAATAATAATTAGTTATGGCCCAGATTTTCTAGCAGCAGTGGATTAAAATTTACACTATAATTTTCTGTTACATAGCACAAAATGTTTTTCTTCAATATTCAACCGCGAATATTTAATATCTAATCATAATTGCATACCCATAAGTCATTTCTGTCGGAGGAATTATTAAAAATCTAAGATCACATTAAAAATTATATGAATTTTTTAATTAATAACAATCATCATGTGTAGTTTACAATAAAACTTCCTAAAGTAAATGATAACTAAAACAATGAAGTAAAATAATATAAAAAATATAATAAATTGATTAGATAAAATAGATTTATTGTAACTCAGTCGTTCCAATTAAGCTTACGAGGCATAAAGTTTTTAGTTCAATCTTTTAATTAGCCAGTTAGCGCGATTATGGACGCAACTATTACTAGACCATGGTGCTTACGCGGGCATATAATATACTTACCTAGATTTCACTTACGGCCCATTATAATAATAATAATAATAATAATAATAATAAATATAATGACCGTACCACACTTACGACTCCAATAACTTGAGAACATGATTCCTCTTGATATATCCCTTCCACAGTAGCATCTTGTGAATTTTTTTATAATTTTATTCTTATGTGTTGCGGAACAGCAACCAACAAATCCGACACATCTTCCTCCGAGCAACCACAGCCGCCGCAAACGGAAATTCCTCCTGCAATTACTCTCAGCCCACAGTCCTCATCAGCATCTTCAAACGATTCGGAAGATACTAAAAAACCGAACCAGGTATCACACCTGGTACACAAGCACATGGTGCTGCCATTTATTCCACCAAAATTTGCCAATGCCGCTGACTCGGATACTCTTCTTAAGCCCTCGGAATACTTAAGGAGTATCTGCAAGACATCTAATAATAAAAATACTCTATCCAAAGCCAGGTCAGTAATATATTAATATTTTCATTTTTTTATTAATTAATTAATTAATTAATTAATTAATCTTGTACCCTTTTATGTGATACAGGTCGGTGGATAATTTGGATATACAAGGAAGAGTTGAAGTGGAGGAGGTGGATAAGTGTCAGGAACAAAAAACATCCCCTGGACCACCTCCTCCTCCTTTGCCGCCTCCAATTGTCGCCAAGGATCCAGGCCATTCAGTTAACACTCCAACAACTTCGACGCAGGAAACTGAAACGCCAAAAACTCATCAACCGCTGGCTACTATTAGCATCCAGGATCTTACCAGTGTTCAATTACGACGTACTAATATTAAAATGAATGCCACTAAAAACTTCTCCACTCCTCCACCTAGAAGTGTTTCTATGACCAATGGTATTTAATTCATTTAAATAGTTTGTTTAATTTTTTATTTTAATTCTAAATCATAAGTGTTGTTATAACCAAGTTTAGTTCAATGATTTGTTTTCGTGATTTGTTAATATTATTTTAATTTACTAAATATTAATGTGATTTTTGGGTTATTTTATTATCCACTGTGCTAGTTGTGCTATGAAAGCTTTGGTGATGAAAACAAATAATTTATAATACATTTTTTTAATATTATTTTTATTTTATTTATTTTAGTGTCGGAAGCATTTTTTGTACAAAAAACGGATCTTATTGCTGAGCTGAAGAAAGCAAAGGACATACCAGGAATTAAGAAGTTTAAAGTTGAAATGGCAAAAGTTGAAAAAACACAAGAGCAGAATCTTATCATGGAAATTAGTAAATCTTTGAGTGTATCAAGTTTCGTAGACCAGGTAAAAAATACTTTATGATAAATATAGAACCGGAAACTTTTATAATTGATATTTATTAATTAATACTTATACTCCAAATTTATTGACACTCTATTTTTAATATTTGATTAAGTTATGAGTTATGAGAATATATAAGGAAAAAAATACTACGCACTATCATGAAATATTGAATAATTGATAAAATAAATATAAAAAAAAAAAAAAAAAAAAAATATGAGAATAGAGTCAGTTAATAACATAAATATCGATTTTTTGAGGTTGCCGTTCTATTTAATCTCCCCTAACTTTTTTTTTTTTTTTTTTTTTTTTTTTTTTTTTTTTTTTTTTTTT